AGTCCAAGTCTGTTTCATGATCCTGGGACCTGGTCCATTTAGTCAAGTGTTCTGGGCCTGGTCAGGGCTCTATTAATTTGTATTCTGCTGAGCAAAGTTATTCCCCTTTGCCATTCACCTTTGAAAATTAATCACTGTAAATAATGTACTTGAAAGGTTAGTAGAATAAGAGAATAATGCAAGAATATCTTTATTGTATAATACAAAAAGTACTTTCATAGTTTTAATGGTCAAGTAGACTTGGAAATAATAGATGAATAAAAATGAGACAAAAATAACTTTTATAAAAATAATCTTTTTAAATGTTCTTCAAAGACCAATGTGAGAAGTAATAATACAGTGTTAAAAAATAGACATTTTGTTAATAGTGTGCATGGTAATAGTGATAAATGGGAGACAGATAGATACAAGACCAATTATTTTGTTGATCCTAATCATACTATTTTTCTTGCTTTTGGGCAACAAAGCTTTATTTATCAGTTTATGGATCCTCTAAATTGTTGTATTGTACTCAGATGACCATTAAGGCCCTTGGGCCTCTTGTTTCAAGTTCACTGGGATATATTGCATTAAAATACAAATTGAAATAGCTATTTTTAGGTCACCTAAGTTTGTTCAAATCATGACTCTGGGGATAGGGTGGGGCCACAATGGACGATCAAAGATTTACAAAAGCTTCTTCTATCAGTTTATTTTATACTCTATGGATCCTCTTTAGATTGTTTTTTTTATACTCAGGTGACCATTAAGGCCCTTGGTCCTCTTGTTGATTGATAAAACTGTGTCAGTATATCTGAATGTCCACTTGAAGGCTTTAGCAAGTAATTTCTTCTTCTGATGTAGAAGTTTTTGAATAAATTCTGCTTCATAGGAATTTAAAAACAGGTTGGCTTATAAAGGAGCACAATTAAAGCCCATTGGACTTCCTAGTCTCCAAAGACTACTTAGATGTTGTCAGTGAAGAACTTTAGCATCCTTGTAATACAAGGATTAACTAGGTTTTGGGGGAAAGTACCCTTTCTGGATAATTGTGCACTAGTAAGGTGTACGTCTGTCCATCTGTAAACAATTTTTGAAAATGCTTGTCCTACAGTTTTGGTCCAATTTCAGTAAGACTAGGTACACAAGTAGAATACACTAAGAAACGTAATTCTATTGATTGGTTTTTGATTTGGAATGAAATATCCATGAGTTTTGTGACCTTGCTTTACTCACAAATATTTCTTGCTTTAAATTGTTTATTTCATTTTATAAATTAGTATTTGTGGAAAGATTTCAAGCTGAAAAATTGTGAATAAAATTGTTAAAAATGATAGGTTACTGTATTAAAAATGCATGAATTCTTTGAGAATCTTGTTTTCTGTCCTTAAGTATTTAGCAGACAAACAAAGTGCATGATTATAATGAGTAAGAGTGCCTCATCCATAATGGTGAAATTCATGGCCCGTAGATTAGTTCTGGTGTTAGGGTGGGACTCTGTTGGTTATGTAGTGAAAATACATTAATTCTTTGAAAATTATCTCTTCTCCTGTGTATTTAGCAGACAAACTAAGTGCATTGTTATGATGAGTGAGAGTGTTTTTTCCAAAATTGTAATATTTTTCTCCAGAACCACTGGGGCCATCTTAAAAAAAATTTTTGGTTGGCCTCTCCCAACCAACTGGCTAAAAATGACCCGACTCAAAACTTTTTTCTAACCTCCATGAAACAATTATTTTTTTTTATGCAATCCTGAAAATCTTGCATTAATGTTGAAATTTTTCTGTGTAAAAAAAAAATTCAACCTACCCAACTGACCCAAATTCTTCATACCGAGTCGGGCGAGGGAAAACAAACATTATTTGGCATGGGTCAATTTCAATCATACTTGGACCAAAGCATCTTTGGGTGAAGGGGATTCATATTTAGGCCAGAAAAAATAATAGTCTTGTTTCCTGCTACCAGCCTGAAAAAATAGGGTAGGTAGGTAGGAAAATTATTTTATATTTTTATTTTATTTTTTTTTCGACAGCATGTTTTGGATATGAATTTATACAAGATCAAATAAAACATGTCACAGGTCAATATTGTCTTTTGAAATTAAATTTCATGTCTTTTTATGCACAACTCAAGTGGTATTTTATGAAAGTCCATATTTAAAGCAAGAATTTCATGAAATGCTTGTTTTGTGTTAACACAGAAACCGATCACTGTGACAGAATGATGAAATTCTGGAAATTCCCGATTTTTTTTCTTCCCAAACTTAAAAAAAACTTTAGGGTCAGGTGCAAAAAAATAGGGTAGGTCGGGTAGCAGGAAACAAGACTATTATTTTTTTTGGCCTTATTCAAATGAAGGGCCACACCATCTTTCAAGGGAGATAATTAAAAAAATTGTTACATGTGGCCCGGGGTCACAATGCTCACTTGAACACATTAGCTAGAAAAAAGCAGAAATTAGTTCAGTATTGAAAGTTTACAGGGGGAGGGGGGCTTAAATTTACACTAACTCAGGGAGCTTAAATTTACACTAACTCAGGATGCTTCTATATCAATATTACAAATCATTTGCTTTAATAGGTCTGCATGCAAAAAACAATTAAAATCCATGACATGCAATGTGCCACCCATTGCCTGGTTTTTTGGTGGACTGCCTCTTAAATACAAAAAGTACTTTCATAGTTTTTAGCTCACCTGAGCCAAAGGCTCAAGTGAGCTTTTCTGATCAAAATTTGTCCGTTGTCTGTCGTTGTTGTTGTAAACTTTTCACATTTTCATCTTCTTCTCAAGAACCACTGGGCCAAATTCAACCAAACTTGCCACAAAGCATCCTTGGGTAAAGGGGATTCAAGTTTGTTCAAATGAAGGGCCACACCCTCTTTCAAGGGGAGATAATTAGGAATTAGTGAAAAAATAATGGCATCATTTAAAAATCTTCTTTTCAAGAACCACTGGGCCAGGAAAGATGAAACTTATTTGGAAACATCCTCAGGTAGTGTAGATTCAAGTTTGTTCAAATCATGACCCCCGGGGGTAGGGTGGGGCCACAATGGGGGATCCAAGTTTTACATAGAAATATATAGGAAAATATCTTTAAAAATCTTCTTCTTACGAACAGTAAAGCCATGATTGGTCATATCTATATGGAAGCATCCTCAGGTAGTGAAGATTCAAATTTGTTTAAATAATAACCCCCGGAGGTAGGATGGGGCCACAATTGGGGATCCAAGTTTTACATAGAAATATATAGGAAAATATCGTTAAAAATCTTCTTCTTAAGAACAGTAAAGCCATGATTGGTCATATTTATATGGAAGCATTCTCAGATAGTGAAGATTCAAGTTTGTTCAAATCATGACCCCCAGGGGTAGGGTGGGGCCACAATGGGGGATCCAAGTTTTACATAGAAATATATAGGAAAATATCTTTAAAAATCTTCTTCTTACGAACAGTAAAGCCATGATTGGTCATATCTATATGGAAGCATCCTCAGGTAGTGAAGATTCAAATTTGTTTAAATAATAACCCCCGGAGGTAGGATGGGGCCACAATTGGGGATCCAAGTTTTACATAGAAATATATAGGAAAATATCGTTAAAAATCTTCTTCTTAAGAACAGTAAAGCCATGATTGGTCATATTTATATGGAAGCATTCTCAGATAGTGAAGATTCAAGTTTGTTCAAATCATTACCCCGGGGATAGGTTGGGGCCACAATGGGTGATCAAAGTTTACAGAGGAATATATAGGGAAAAGTCTTTTTCTCAAGAACAGAAAAGCCATGATTAGTCAAATTGATATGGAGGCATCTTTGGGTAGTGTAGAATGAAATTTGTTCAAATGAGGGCCCCCGGGGGTAGGGTGGGGCCACAATGGGGGATCAAATTTTTACAAATGAATATATGGGAAAAAAATCTGCTGCTCAAGAACAACAAAGCCATTTGTTATATTGATACGAAAGCTTCCTCAGGTAGTTTAAAATTCAACACCCCCCTCCTTGTAAACTTTTCAATACTGTACTGATTTTTGCTTTTTTTCCTAGCCAATGTGCTCAGGTGAGCGATGTGGCCCATGGGCCTCTTGTTAATGATCAGGTAGACTTTTATATAATAGATAAATAAAATAAGACAAAAATACCTTGTTTTAAGACTATAAGAGAGGCCAATATGTGAGGGAGTGAGATTAGGTTACTAATAGTATTCAAGAACTTTTGTTTTGTTTAGCCCTCATGGGGATAGAGACAAATGGGGCCAAGTACAGACTAGTGAAAAGATCAACTTTAAGATTTATTACTGAGCACTAATTATTATTTTTGCTGATCCCTTGTCATTCTATTTCTCTTGCTTTTGGGCAACATAGCTTCATTTATCAGCTTATGTTGTTTTATTTTATATTCAATCCTTCACAGAGTTATATTTATCCTCAGATTACTGTTAAGGCCCTTGGGCCTCTTGTTTAAAATTACATTTTATTAACATATTTTACAAAATCAATGCAAAATACAGGCATGTAGCATCGAGGGGGGGGGGGGGGGGGGCCCACTTTTTTCCAAACATAATTTTTTACTATTGAAAATGTTCCTGAAAGGGTGGGTGCACCCCCCCCCCCCCCCACTTTTTGTTGCAGTATTCTTATATATATAGCAATATAGTATAGTATTGCTACGTCCCTGAAATAAGCAACATAGTTTACATTTAATTTGAAGAATGTGTCTAGAATTGTTTGCTTTTATCACTTGCACAAACCTTTTAACTAATTATATGATCATGCATAAACTCAGCTATGGATGACACTTTATGAGCACACTATGTGCAATTCAGCTTTTCGGCAACGTTTCTTGATACATGCTTGTGTGACCTTGTAGCATGGTATGCTCTATGTACTAAGCAAATTACATCAAATTAAGGACATCGCTTTCACATTATATGCTGTATAATCATTTGAAATCTCTTCATGATATTTAGGTGTTCATCCAAGACCGTGAGCTATTAACTATAATAATATGTATTGTTCTTTCCCCAGCTGCTAGACTGGAGTTTTTCTTCATTCTGTGCTACAGAAGTTTTGATTCTGAGACTAAAATGGTGATGACCTATAAAGGTCATGTATATCCCATCAGACAGTACTATCCCTATATAACAGAGGAGATGGCAGTTAAATGGCTGAACATTTCTAATGATGTTAGAAGTCTTCATCTGACCACTCAGGAACATGCTGTTATTCTAGCTATATGTCTGACATTTACAGGTAAAGATCAAAACATTAACACTATAACAATGTGATGGGTCATCAGTCTATTGAAGCTTATCCAAGTTGAAGGCTTGGATTTCTGGATCGGAATTTGTCCTTGTGTCTAGCTCCCTGTTTGTCTGTCTTAAGAGACACATTTATCAATTTTTTTCTTCAGAATTGGAGGGCCAATTTCAACAAAATTAGGCACATATTATCCTTTGAATAAAGAATTCAGAATTGTTCTTATGAAGGGCAGACCCATTCAAAGGGGGAAATCATCAATTATTGTTGACAAATCTTATAACTAATCTTGTTTTTAATGTTTGATAATTGACTCTAGAGGAATGCAAATTCAACTCCATTTGAGAAATGCAAGAACTTATCTGTACATTATGAGATAGAACATATGTGAAAGGTTCCTGAAATAATGTAAATTCAATTTACAGACAATTCTCTGTAAACAGGGTTTAAACTGATAAGCATTCCCAGACCAGTCCCACAGTGGTCCCAGAGCAGTCAAAGCAGTCCCAGAAACCGTGCCAGTAGGTTTGTTTAATAAATTTAATGGGCTTAGCTTAGTCCTTAGATTACACATTGTATCAACAAACAATGTCAGCATTATAAAGGTAGCTGAAACTAATGATGCACTTCTCTTCCAAAATTATGAAATTTGTGGCCAAAGGGTTAGGGAGGATGCTCTAATGATTATATAATGAAAATGCATTATTTCTTTGATTATCTTCTCTTCTCCTAGGTATTAAGCAAACAAATTACATGCATGGTTATGATGAACATGGGTGCTTCTTCAAAATTGTGAATTTCATGACCCCTGACTCAGGGGCTCTGGTGTTAGGACAGGGCTCTATAGATCAGATAGTGAAAATCCATAAATACTTTAATAATCTTATTTCTGCCCTGAATATTCAGCAGACAAACTAAATTCATGGTTATGATGAGCAAAGATGTCTCTTCCAAAATTGTAAAATTCAAATCCCCTGGCTCAGGGCTCTTGGTGTTAGAGAAGGGCTCTATTGAATGTTTAGTGAAAATGCATTATTTCTTTGAAAATTTTCTTTGCCACTGGGTATTATGTAAACATGCAAAGTGCATGCTTATGATGTGTAAGGGTGTCTCTTTCAAAATGGTGAATTTCTTGGCACTTGGAGTAGGAGCTCTGATGTTAGGGTGGGGCTGTGTTGAATCTATAGTGAAAATGCATTATTTCTTTGAAAATCTTTTTCTCTGCTCCTAGGCAACTTTGACTCAAACAGAGTACTTTGTAATAAGCAAGGGTATTTTGTCCAGATTCTTGAAAATTTGGGCCACTTGATCAAGTGTTCTGGTAATGGTAAAAAACGATGCTTTTCTACATAAACCTGGCCCCGGGGCCATGAATGTTTTATTTTACTCAACTCAAATCTGAGTAAAGTAAACTTTGTTTTACTCTCCTGAGTTTCAACTCAAAAAAGTGTGCCACGAATGCTAAGGAAACTCAACTAAACAGAGTAACAAAACTCTGCATAAAACTCAAATTGTTTTTAATGATATAAGTGGTCTAAATAAATAAGAAAACATTTAAACGCCCTTTCTGTGTTCACCTTTCCATTTCATTCATGCTTTTCTGCATCATAACATGAAATTATGACGTCATTCTCGGGTTGATTTTCGATACTTGCGAACCGAATTAAATGCTAAATTCACAACTTATTAATAGTACAATGCCTTTAGTACTCACCAACATCGTTTTTATGGTTTGTTTATGAAATATACAGTCTGGTGAAAACTTTTTATCAGACGGTCGAGTTTTCTTTTCATTTCGTGCGTTTTAAAATCTTGCAAGACCTTTATCGAAATGTGGAGTAATATTTTTTTTTCATCGATATTGATGAGTACTAGAAGCCTTGTGCTACTGGTAAATTGTAAGTTCGGCATTTAATTCAGTTCGCAAGTATTGAAAATCAGCTCATAGAAATAATGTACGTGCATGATCAAGATGACGAAAAATAATTTTCAATGCATATTACTAATAGGCCTGCATATTAGACCTTTAATATCCATGTATTTATTTTCAAGAGGCGGCAAAGCAATAAGAGCAGAGATAAATTACATGTGCCGCAAGATGACATATTTTCTTTAGTTTTGAAAATGTAGAGTATATCTGAAAACAGCTAAGTGAAAAAAAAAAACTTGGGGGAAAAACAGCGAAATCCAATAACAAAACAAATCCGTTCAATGGTTATGTATTGTTTTACTAACAACCAGCGATCATGTGCAGCAGTTTGCCAGATTTCCTAGACAAGATCATGGACCACGGCCGTTGCGTATACTGTACATGCAGTTAATCCCCCCCAAAATGGTCTTTAATTAGTTATCAATATAATCATGCACAATCTTTCCTCCCTGAGTGCCGAGTATAGGTCTAAATTTGCAACCCTCCACCGGTAAGTGGTGTCGCAATATGAGTGAAAAATTTTCGAGAGGGATGTTAAACAACAAATAAACATATCAAACAGGCAAGTGGGGTGGTGGGTTCTCAAACATAACATTTCACCATTAAAATGTCAGTTGAAAGGCTGGTTGGCCAGCCCACCTTTTGTGAAGCATATTTAAATATAGCACTACTTGGTAATTTGGTAATGTAAAGAGAAACTTGGTTATTAAAGAAAGTTGTATCCTAACCCCCCACCCACCAAATGCGGGACGGTTTGCCCCAAAAGACCATTCGCACTGAGACGATTCGGGCCTTTTCCTTTAATTAAGGGATTTAATTAGCCCTTGTTAGTAGTAATTATTATACCCAGGGTTCTCCATCATTTTACTGTGTTGCAGACTTTTCGTGAACAACTAAATATTCGCGAAAATTTTCATGATCAAATTCGCAACTAAACCACAATTCATTATAATTACAAAAGCATATACATACATTTTTTTAATCACCTATTCGTTACACAAATGGTATGGTCTGGCACATTAATAAAAAAATAAATTTATGGATATTTAAAACTATTAGAATGTATTCATACAATAATGTACATACAATGTACCACATGCATTAGATAAACCAACTGTAACCCCCCCCCCCCACTCCCCCCCAAAAAAACACACACAACTTAAAAAAATAAGTTTTTTTTTTTTAAAGGTGCTTATACACAGATTTGAAGTTAATATTTTCTCAAATTTTCTGTATAATATCATGACATATATGGCAATAGCATTTCACACGAAAATATAATTAAAAACTAATTTTATCTGGAAATTATTGGAACTACGAATTCCTGGACGCGTTTGATAAACACATCCTTGCACTTTCACAAATTTTATCTTTATCCTTAATATTCAAGAAAAGAAGCGATTTTGTTGTGTATTAATGAAAAACATTACATCTATAATCCAGAAAATTCAGAGTAGAAATGTGCGAAAGCAAACCTCCTCACTAATATCGTCAGCCCATGCTCAGTCTTGTGTACAGAGTTTAACAAATTTAATACACCCGTGAAACGTAAACTGTTTTTGTAAACAGGGCACGAGCTCTGTTATTGTTAATGTTTACGATTCACCGGGTGTGTTCAATTGCTAAAGTCTGCACACACCACTGAGCACGGACTGACAATACTGTGAGTGGGTTTTGCTTTTGAACATTTCTACTCTGAATTTTCTGGATTATAGTTTTAATATTTTTCATTAATACAAAACAAAATTGCCACTATTCTTAAGTATTAAGAATAAAATTAAAATTTGTGAAAGTGCAAGAATGTGTCAATCAAACGCGTCCAGAAATTTGAAGTTTCAATAACTTCGAGATGAAACAAGATTTTTATTATATTTTAGTATGAAATGCTATAGCAACATATAAGTCATGAAATTATACAGAAAATTTGAGAAAATATTAACTTCAAATCTGTGTCCAAGCACCTTTAAATATAGTTATATAATATACTTGTATTACTATCTACAAGTTGTACGTATTTATTAAACCTTGATATTTTTGTGTATATACATATGTAACTTCATGTTTTACACATGCTCTGAAGAGCAGGGGAAATTCTGGTTGATACAATCGATCTACAGAAAATTTGCCGTGATTTTTGTCAGTTGATCGAATTACAGAATTTAAAAAAAGAAACTTATATAATAGTAAATACTTTTAGAGGGTGCCTTTAAATTCTTAAACAATACATTTACATCAAAGAAATGATTACGGTACAATGTTTGACTCACAGTGCCAACATTATTCTAGAGACATAGTTCTGAAGTATAAAGACATATATTTATAATATATCTTTAAATTTTGAAATAATATTTTGAAATGCAACTAGCAATTATACAGTAACATGGAAGTGTGAAAACAAATTATTTGTCTTTTTCCTTTCATGCGTAAAGTCCAGCGAGGGTCTAGGAGATAATTGATATGCAAGGTGAAGTAAGACAAAGTGCCCTAATTAGGATATAATTAATATAAGTGCTCTGCCTTAAAAATTGAAACATGGTAGATTTGTTTGATTAAAGTTTCAGTTAGAGAAAATTTATGTTCTGATTTTCTGATTATCACAGATCTTACCGTGTCGCAAATTTTTTTACTGTGTTGCACGCATAAAATTTGAATCGTTACTGTGTTGGAGAAAATTTTACTGTGTCGGGACCTACACAGTAAAACAGCTCATGGAGAACCCTGTTATACCTATGTAGTGACTTTGTATCATTTTTAATTATTTTAATGACTACTCCATATTACTATTTTAGTCTTTCTTGAATAAAGTATTAACATGCTAAAGTTTTAACATTTATGAATCCATCAATATAAAACAGTAACAAAATCGTAACTTATTGACATTTAAAGAAACGGATCATTGCATCTGCCTAGTAGTATACCATTTTTATTGTTCAATTGTAAGTAGATACTGTAAGGATTCTAAAATTGAATACAGAGGAATTTCAATATTTATGTGTTCAGTAAGTTTGACAAACCGATACACGAATTTTGTTTAATCAATATACTGATCTAAGATACATGTCTG